GTCGATTGAAGCCGTTGTAAGTTCCACCCATCCGTTTTTTTTTAAAAGTTATGTCTTATAAAACCCCCTTTTTGCTTTTTACCCGTTCTGTTATACTATACCATATCGAATCATCAAGGGACTGCTTTTGCACGGGCTGCCCAAAAAGGTTTGGTACTTTGGCATTGTTAAAACTCAAGTGGCCTAGACGACGTGATAAAAGGGCACTTCCAAAAACACATAATGGCTCTGCAAGGTGGGGTGATAAAGGCTTGAAACGCATTTTTTATGAAAGCCATGGGGCTAGAAAATTGGGCTAAAAAAGGGAGCTTTCGACACCGTGACAAGCGCGTTCTTTTGAAAACCCACTCTAATCCATACCCCAAGCCTTGTTTGAACTGCCTATGACATGCCTGGCATCCTTTCATTGATCGCATACACAATCAGTTTTCCCCCCAAGCCTTCCATTCTCTATGCACGCGCCCAGGCAACCCGTCATCAATGTATGTCGTGCTGCTGATAGATCCACTCTTGATGTGAAGTCCCTCATCATTCACCTCACATCCATTCATTTTCATTTTTCTCTGAATCTAGAATCATCTAGGCCAGTGGGAGGTCTTTTTTAACGCTGTGTGATTTGTGCCCGAGTATAATTAGTTTATCTGGCCCCGAAAGCATGTCTGATTTCTCCTACAATATATCTAGTATTGGGAACTGCACTGGCCTGGTGATTGGAATGGATGCCTTCCTTAACTCTTTCAGTCACAGTGTGTTGTTATTTTAACCTTTTTACTCAGTGGAGCTTAGCTTAAGAGCAGAAAATACTTCGGTCTGAGAAAGTTCAGAAGAGCCTAGAAATTATTATTATTATTATTATTATTATTATTATTATTATTATTATCAAATTATTTGATTGCTTTTCTGATTTACACCACAAGCCATATTGTGATAAAATTGATGTTTTTCTTTAAGATTCTCTTTCTTCTTCTTCTTATGGTCCATGCCATGTGAAAGTGTTAATCTCTATCCACAACTTTCTGTTTCGTGTCTTCTTCCTATAGTTCATGCCATGTGACGCTGGAAATGTCTCTCCACGACTTTCTGACTCGTGTCTTCTTGTTACGGTCCCTGCCACTTGACGTTGGTAGTCATGGTCTATACCAAGCTCTGTCTTGTCACAAAGCTATGTATGTCCTGTCACAAACCAAGCTATGTCCTGTCACAAACCAAGCTATGTCCTGTCACAAAGCTATGTCCTGTCATAAACCAAGCTATGTCCTGTCACAAACCAAGCTATGTCATGTCAAAAAGCTATCTCCTGTCACAAACCAAGCTCTGTCCTGCAACAAAGCTATGTCCTGTCACAAACCAAACTATGTCCTGTCATAAACTAAGCTATGTCCTGTCACAAACCAAGCTATGTCCTGTCACAAACCAAACTATGTCCTGTCATAAGCCAACTTATGTCCTGTCACAAACCAAGCTCTGTCCTGTTACAAACCAAGCTATGTCCTGTCACAAACCAATCTATGTCCTGTCACAAACCAACTATGTCCTGTCACATACTAAGCTATGTCCTGTCAAAAACGAAGCTATGTCCTGTCACAAAGCTATGTCTTGTCACAAAGCTATGTCTTGTCACACACCAAGCTACGTCCTGTCACAAAAAAAGCGATGTCTTGTCACAAACCAAGCTATGTCCTGTCACAAACCAAGCTCTGTCCTGTCACAAACCAAGTTCTGTCCTGGCACAAACCAAGCCATGTTCTGTCACAAACCAAGCTATGTCCTGTCACAAACCTGGCTATGTCTTGTCACAAACCAAGATATTTTCTGTCACAAACCAAGCTATGTTCTGTCACAAACCAGGCTATGTACTGTCACAAACCAAGCTATGTCCTGTCATAAACCAAGCTATGTCCTGTCACAAACCAAGCTATGTCCTGTCACAAACCAAACTATATCCTGTCACAAACCAAGCTATGTCCTGGCACAAACCAAGCTCTGTCCTGGCACAATCCAAGCTATGTCCTGTCACAAACCAGGCTATGCGATGTCACAAACCAAACTATGTCTTATCAAAAACCAAGCTATGTTTTGTCACATGCCAAGCTATGTTCTGTCACAAACCAAGCTATATCCTGTCACAAACCAAACTATGTCCTGTCACAAACCCAGCTATATCCTGTCACAAACCAGGCAAAGTCCTGTGCGTTTAAATTTTTGTGCTTTTGATCAGCATGATCCAAATGACATCAGAATGAATTTATATTATGCTATTTTATCGTTTCGGCCTGGCTGGCCGATGCACCATACCCGAGGGATGTACTCCATCCAGAACGGTCTTGTGCAGCAGCCTCCCATGTCGCTGTGTTGATGCCAGAAGAAATTGAGAACAGTCTTAAGAGGGTCCTTATAACACATTTTTTCTGTCCTCCCTGAGACGTCTTCGCTTGCTGGAGCTCGCCATAAAATACTCTCTTTGGGAGGCGATAGTATGGCATGCGGGTTAGGTGACCAGCCCAACGCAGCTGATCATTCTTCAGTATCGTGAGGATTCTAGGCAGGTTTGCCCTATCAAGAACCACAGTATTTGGTATCTTATCTTGCCATTTCATTTTGAGCAGCTTTCTGAGACAAGTTATATGAAACTGATTTACAGTTAAAAAGTTAAATACAAAGATAATGGACCTGACTCACGCTTTTGATGCATCGGACACATGGTTCAACTAGCTCCTCCCACCTCTTCCTGACGTTTACCGGCTGTAAGCTCAGACCGAAAGTTCTGTTCGATTATTCACTTCTGGACTTAGGTCGTGCTCCAGAAATTGAGCTCTGCGTGCACGTCCGTTTTACATATCTGGCTTTCATGTTTGCAGACTGTTGATTCTTCGTCTCTCAAGCAGATGTACACGGGGCTCGAGGGTGGGTGCCACTACTATTTTGGATGGACAAGTTAGAATTCCGTACGTTATAAGGTTAAAATCACGTCTGTCGTTTGTACGTCCAGTGGCTTTTCCCGGTTAGTTTAGTTAGTTAGCTAGCTAGCTAGCTAGCTAGCTAGTTACTTAGTTAATCGAGAGTTTATCCTCATTGCACATTGGACAAGTCCATAAGCGCTGTGCTCCCATTTTCAGTATCTCCCTCAGCGTGTGGCGACTGATAACACTAGTTCTGTGTTGGTTTACTGAATCGCCTCGTAGTCCTGCCTCCTTGAGAGCGTTGAGAATGTCGGCCCGGTCCATTGCTTTTCCTTTATCCACCATTGCCCTGCCAGCAAGTCAGTCCGCTCGTTCATTCCCTCTTACACCAGAGTGTCATGTGCCGCTACTCCTGTGATGTTGTATCGACCTGGAAGGTCATTTATAACAAGTGGCCAGGCGTGTATGTAACGGACCTATTTGTCGCTTACACTTCCCATTCTTAGTCTTTCTTTTCTCAGTATTTGCCAATGCCGCTAGGCGTCACAGTTCATCAGACGATCGTCAGCCGAGCCAGGGCGCGCTCAGTCGCTTGATATGCCGTGATGTTATGTTGTCTCAAGGTGTCAGTGACTCTTTCAATCCATGTCCTTCTCGGTCTTCCCCTGCCTCTTGGTGTTTCGATTTTCAGGTTATACCCTCTTACTGCTGGCATCGTTGGTTTCATTCTCATTAGATGATGGCCAAACCATTTCATTCTTTATTTCTCAATAAATTTGACGATGGGTGTTGTTACAACAGTTCTTGTGATCACGTCGTTTCTCACTCGATCCTTTCTGGTTTTATTCACGACCAATCTCAAACATCTCATCTTACAGGTGGTTAGTTTTATCTCGTGTTCTTTTGTCAACGTCCAAGTCAGACATCTAAAGTCGGTGGAAATGTTATATTTGTTATTTGTCTTTTTTTTTTCTCTATTGCACTTTCCATCGCCGGAGAAAAATCATATTACTATTTTTTTATCACTGTTTACTATTTATAAGATATACACGACCTGTTTTACGTCATGAAAATAGAGAAAAGAACACTGGATGCATGATTACACCCCAAACGCACTCTAACGCGTAAAAGCTACCAGTTACACGCACTACACTGCTGGCTGCAAATAAGTATTTTCGGCAGTGAAGCGAGGAAGAGGAAAATATTACGTAACACTCCCCCAGTGTAATTGGTACCTGCTAACACTTACTCGTTCGAATTGATCGTGCCTCGCCACTGTTTATAACCTTATCCTACTCCCAACCCACCCTATTCTTTATCCCTGCTCTCTCCCCTCTCCCCCTCCCCTTAGCCTAGAACTAGATTCGACCACAGCAACTTCTCCTCAGCTGGCACCTCTCCACCCACTGCGCAACCGCAGTGAACTCTAAATTCGAGTAATTAGCCTTTTAAAAACAATTTATTTCCCTAATGGGAAAAAAATGTGATTAAGTGTGTCGTCACCGGGCATTGTCAGCAGGAGCAAAAATTTGTCCCGGCAACTATGGGCAATTAGGGAATGTCTACACGGGATCAGTCAACACTAGAATGTCCACATTTGCTCTGGCGAGTGTGAGAATGTCCCTCCCGCGGCTCACTCATCGATAACAGAAGTATAGTTCCAACGTGACAAGTGCGGTTTTCTATGCTTCACGTCGCGTGATCGTTACAGTGCTTTATAGTAGTGGTTCATTGGGTCCGTTCTGAGACTCTCTCGTAGACCGTTGTCGGATGTCTCAGAGATTCAGCTTTGTGTCAAAAGGTTTTCGGCTAAAGTGCATGTTGTAATTATTTTCTGCAGTTTAAAAATCAAATATGCAAGGTCTAGCAGGGCGTCTTTCTCCGTCTCCCGTTCCATCTTTCTCGTGATATCTGTCATTATTTGATGATGGTTTCTGAATATGTATCTATCTATCTATCTATCTATCTATCTATCTATCTATCTATCTATCTATCTATCTATCTATCTATCTACTATCTATCTATCTATCTATCTATCTATCTATCTATATCTATCTAATCTATCTATTCTATCTATCTACATCTATCTATCTATCTATCTATCTATCTATCTATCTATCTTCACTATCTATCTATCTATCTATCTATCTATCTATCTATCTATCTATCTATCCTATCTATCTATTATGGTATCTATCTACATAATCTATCTATCTATCTATCTATCTATCATCTATCTATCTATCTATCTATCTATCTATCTATCTATCTATCTATCTATCTAAGTCTATCTGTCTGTCTATCTATCTGTATCTGTCTTAGCTATCTGTCTATCTGTCTGTCTATCTGTCTATCTGTCTGTTCTATCTGTCTGTCTATCTGTCCTATCTATCTGTCTATCTATCTATCTATCTATCTATCTATCTATCTATCTATCTATCTATCTATCTATCTATCTATCTATCTATCTATCTATCTATCTATCTATCTATCTATCTATCTATCTATCTATCTATCTATCTATCTATCTATCTATCTATCTATCTATCTATCTATCTATCTATCTATCTATCTATCTATCTATCTATCTATCTATCTATCTATCTATCTATCTATCTATCTATCTCTATCTATCTATCTATCTATCTTATCTATCTATCTATCTATCTATCTATCTATCTATCTATCTATCTATCTATCTATCTATCTATCTATCTATCTATCTATCTATCTATCTATCTATCTATCTATCTATCTATCTATCTATCTATCTATCTATCTATCTATCTATCTATCTGTCTATCTGTCTGTCTGTCTGTCTGTCTATCTGTCTGTCTGTCTGTTCGTCCCTCCGTATATTCGTCCGTCCGCATACCCATCCATGCATCCATTTATCCGTCCGTCCGTCCCTCTATCTGTTTATCTCTTTGTCTGTCTGTGTGTCTTGCTCCGGTAGTGGTAGCTCAGAGGAAAGGCACGACTGACGTATAATCACACTGTTACTGGCACTATTGGTATTGGATCAAGACCAAAGTCCAGACGTAGACGAACAACCAGAACTTTTACAGCCTCTAAGAACTCTTTAAAAAAAAGAACAGCTCTACAGTATACAACCCGGACGAAAGGCCAGCGTTTTTGAGATTTGCTGCTACTATTTCCATAAGAACGGTTTATTGGGGAGCCGACATTGTGCTACCAGTGCCAAACATGGACCCTTACAACAACTAATGAGTGGAAGATCGTAACAACAGAGCTGAGATGTCTTATGAGAACTGTCGATATGACAAGACGAGATACAATCAGTAATGCAGAATTAGAAGACTGTTACTGAAACCAATCGCACAGTTCATTAAAGAACTTTGCTTCGAAGTCGGAGTGCATCTGCCTGAGAGGCAAGGAACCAGCAGTCTGAATACAAATGAGTCAGATCTGTAAAACGGATGCACACGCAACACTCAGGTCCTGGAACAGGACTACAGTCCAGAAGTGGATGAACAACCATAACTTTCCGCCAGATTTACAGCCGGTGAACGCGAAAAAGAAGAAGATTAAAGAACAACAAATGAGATGGTTTGGCCACCTGACGAAAATGCTCTGGTATCAACTGCCACAGAGAGCCATATGAACACAGAGCAAGGAGAAGACCACGTAAGTCGTGGAGCGACACCATCATGCGCAAGCTAACAGAAATGAACACCAATCTGTACAATGCTTTTCAAAAAAGCGCACAAACAAACCTTACACCACCACCCCCCCCCCTCTTTTTTTCCCTTTCCGACCAACACCTCGCATAGGTAAATGGTGAACGAACGAACGAACGAACTTTTTTTTCGAAGGGTTACAAATTAGGCACGCAGACCTGTCTTACATTCGGCCCTTCCAAACTTCCATCTTTCACACAGCAGTTGTATTTCATGAAGCATCTAGTTGGCCGGGGGAGGGGAGCAAAAGGAGACCGAGACACAAGAAGCTGGACAATCTAACATGGCAAGGTCAATCATATGTACCAGGATTGATTGAAAGTACACGAGACAGGAGGTAGTTAGACATGACTACCAACACACACAGGTTAGTTGCGGATCCTCTACAGGACGTTGCAGAACCAACCCCAACAGCCCCTGGCTGTTGTGTGGTTTTTCTAGGCGAATTTACTTCCAGTAGTTTGCCATTGCTTCCTGGACGGTCGGCTACTTGATAACACTGTCGAAATTAACGCAAGACGCATGGCCTGCACCTAGGATCGAACTCGGCATCCCGACATTACGAAGCGCTCGCATCGACTTAGCCACAGAGCCGAC